CCTTGCCTCTGCAATTTTCTTTTCGTATGCAAGCTTTTCTCTTTCTTCTTCTCTGTTTTTTCAGGCTACTCACTGGGTAGCTGAAAATAAAGAAGAAAAGAAGGGAATCTGATACAATAACACTAACTAGACCAAAATTGGTTGTAATACATGTATTTTAATTCACTTACTTCAACAAATACATTATTTTGTTCTTTTTTTTGGTGAGATAAATGTTAATGTCACTAGATTTGTCATTTTTATGGTTTTAATGTGTTTTCTTGGATTACGCATTCAATGGAGGTCAATCAATTCTTGATCTTTTGGTTATTTGATCCGTGAATACTGGTATAGTTTGGGTGGGTTTCTACATGCCCTGTACCTGTTTGTAAAATTGTCTACTTGAATAGCTTTCAGTTTCATAGTTATTCGTACATTAGGATTTCAAGTTTCAACCATCAATTTCATTTGTTTATGCTTATTTATATCTATACATCATTGTGTTTTCGGATGTATGATGCATGTCTAGACCCTTTTAATAAGATCAATTGATGTTTAATGCATTTGAAGATTTTGATGCCGTAATCTAGTTTGGTGAATACTTACGTTTGGTTGTCATATTGTTATGTAGACAAAGATGCCACGTTTGCCTATTGAAAACAGAAGACGCAAAAAATATCGAGGGCAAAGCCAGATTTTATCAGGAATGATAATGGTTGTTATTGCACTGTTTATGATGTGGTACCAGTTAATATTCATACATCTCAAAAGTAGAAGACGCCAAATAAAATCAAAAGAAGAAAAAGTCACTGAGCGCATGCAACACTTATTCAATTTGACTAGGGAGAGTGATGCTTATTGTATTAGCGAACTTCGTATGGATAGACGAACATTTGGGATATTATGTGAAATGATTAGAGACACTGGAGGTTTGAAAGCTATAAGAAACATGTCAATAGAAGAAATTGTTGCCATGTTTGTATATGTTTTGGCTCACCACAAGAAAAGTAGAACAATTTGTGGTCTATTTTGGAGAAGTAGAGAAACGGTGAGTCGTCAATTTAATCTTTGCCTCCTAGCAGTTTTGAAATTGCATACTATATTACTTAAGAAGCCTGAGCCTATTACCGAAGATTGCACAGATGAGACATGGAAATGTTTTAAGGTAATTCAAATATTAAAATACAATCATTTAATAAAATGTATGTTTTCATCTAAACTATCCAATATAGACATTTTAACTCATTTATATTTTTTATTTTTGTTAAAATAGAATTGTTTAGGTGCCTTAGATGGGACATTAATAGATGTGACACCACCCACCGAACAAAAATCAAGATACCGAACGAGAAAAGGAAGTATTGCAACGAATGTATTAGGGGTTTGTTCTCCTAATATGCAATTTATCTATGTCTTGCCTGGTTGGGAAGGTTCGGCACATGATGGTCGTGTGCTTCGAAATGCTATCTCTAGACCAAATGGTCTTAGAGTCCCACAAGGTAAACATATATTGCAGTATTCAATACCATTCAATCAATTTTTTTTCGAAAATAAGGTAGTCTAGTATTAATTTGTACATGATTGAATTTTGAAGGTTGTTATTACTTGGTGGATGCTGGATATTGTAATGCTGATGGATTTCTTGCCCCTTATCGAGGGCAAAGATATCACCTTAATGAATTCAATGGTTATCGACCACAAAGACCAGAGGAATATTTCAACATGAAACATTCTAAAGCTAGAAATATCATAGAAAGATGTTTTGGATTACTAAAAGGAAGGTGGAAGATTCTAGCATCCCCTTCATTTTTTCCAATTCAAAGACAAGTGCGAATAATTATGGCATGTTGTCTGCTGCACAACTTGATAAGGAAGTTCATGACTTTTGATCCACAAGAATTACTACAAAGTGAAGAAAATGAAAGTGAAGATGAAGACAGTGATGAAGAAGTAGAGTGTATATCCACTATTTTGCCAAGTGATCAATGGGCAAATTTTAGAAATAATTTAGCACATGAAATGTTTGACAATTGGAGGGCTGGACTTAGTATTTAGCTATGAATGGATGTTTAGCTCTTAGACTTATTAAATTTGGATTGACATTTGATGTACTCTTGTAGTGGATTTGTGAATTAGATTGACACTTGATGTATGTTCTTTTAAATTTGGATTGACTTTTAATTGTATGTTCTTTTATGTGTTTTGTTATATTATAAATTTCAGTTATATGCTATTGTGTATCAAAATTAATTGATATATATGGGTTGACTTCTAAATGATAGGATGGAGAATGATGAAATTGTACGTGGAAGAGGGAAAAATAAATGTTTTTGGACTGGTGAAGAGGTAAAAGTGCTCATAGAATCATTGCAAGAGTTGGCTTGTGATCCAATGTGAAAATCAGATGGAGGATTTAAAAATAATTATATGAGCGAATTGCTTAAAATTATCTTGCGTAAGCAACCTACTTTTACCAAACAAGTCAGCCCACATATTGAATCAAAAGTTAAGTGGCTGAAAAATAGGTTCCATGCAATTGTTGAAATGTGCAAAGAAAGTGGTTGTAGTTGGAATGATGCTGAGAAAAAGATTTCTTGTGAAAAACAGTGGTATGATGATTGGTGCAAGGTAAGAAATTGATTACTTTTTACATTCTGATATGTTCTTTTTCAACCTTTTATTAAGATTATCATTTATCTTTCTATTCTATCTCTAGACTCATAAGGATGCGAAAGGCCTTTGGGATGTCAAATTTCCATATTTAGGAGATCTTGAAATTGTATATGGAAGAGACAGAGCCACTGGAAATGTTGCTGAAGATTTTGCACAAGCTGTCCAAGATATGGAAGATGTCCAAAATTTGGAGGAAGGACATGAAGGACTTGATGCTATGTCAAACTCGGATAATGATAAGGTAGAAGAAGATGAAGTAAATTCCATAGAGCAATCAACTCAACCAAGCTCAACAAGTACAAGAAATTCCAAGAAACAAAAGAAACAATCCCCTCCCATTGCAAATGTGTCAAAAAAAATGAAATCTGCATCAACAACAAGGGGTGATCTTGATGCATCATTGCAACTTCTCATCAGCAAATTTGGAGATTTCGTGGAGGGAATTCAAGCTAATTTCACAACTATGGCAGCAGCCATGTCAAATGAGGATAAACGTGAGCAATTGGTCTCCGATAGAAGAGATCAAGTTGTTGCTGAGTTAATGAAACTTGCTTTACCGAGTGGAGATGTAATGAATGCAGCCGACATACTTTCGGAGCAGATTTCCAAGTTTCATGTGTTCTACAATCTTCCTGCAGAAATGAAACGACAATATGTAATTAACCTCCTTTATCCTCCATCTACTCGCTGAAGTAAAATTATTGTTAGCTGGAAAGTGATGTTTTGATGGCAATTTCTTTTTGTTATGGTGATTGTTAGATGGTTATATGATTAGTCTTTTGGAGATTGTGGACATTGAGTGGCACTCTCGACTGGATTAGACAATTGACTTGTATTTGGTATGGTTAGCTTTTGTGATTTGAGTCTCCTTCTTTTGTTCATATATGTAAGGAGAGATCTATTTCATATCATTATCTAATATAGGAACCACAAATGACTTGTTAATGGAGTAAATTTCCAAAAAGAAAGAGTTTTTAAACTAACTTCCTAAAGGCTGGCAATTTTTAAGTCTCTTCCCCAAGGGTGAAAAACACATTCAAGAAATGTGTTCTTCCAAATAAAAATGCAACTTTCAAATACGTTATTTTAATTTTCGTAAATTTGTTTAAATATAAAAAATTGGTTAAATAGCGTATTAAATACAAAACCTGCTAATTTCCTATAAAGAGCTGGTATCTTATAAGTAATTTCTTTTTTTTTTTTTAACTTTCACATATTTAATTTATGTTAAATACAAAACATACTAGTTTTCCTTTGGGCGCTATTTAATCAATTTTTTCCATAAAGAATTGGTATGTTTTCCATAAAGAGTTGGTACAAAACATACTACAAAACCTGTCAGTTTCCTTTAAAGAGCTGGTATCTTATGGGCAATTTTGTTTTTTTAACTTTCACATATTTAATTTATGTTAAATACAAAACATACTAGTTTTCCTTTGGGCACTATTTAATCAATTTTTTCCATAAAGCTGGTACAAAACCTGCCAGTTTTCCATAAAGAGCTGGTATCTTATGGGCTATTTAACCAATTTTTCATATTTAAATAAATTTCCAAAACATAAAATAACGTATTTGAAAGTTGCGTTTTTATTTGGAAGAACACATTCCTTGGATGCATTTTTCACCCTTTGGGAAGAGACTAAAAAATCGTCACCTTTTGGGTGATTGTTTAAAAACTCCTTTTTTTGGGAATTTACTCCTTGTTAATGCAGCCACTATATTTATTTTCTGGTATTAATTTTTTTATTATTTATGATTTTCTTATGTTTTATCAAAAAGTTAATAACTATTGTAGTTACAATTATGAAATGTTAATTTGTCGTATGTGTAATTCTTTTGTTTTAGAAGAATTGTTATATCAGGGGTAAATTTGAAATTTAATTGCATTTAATTCCGAAACACTTATCAAACCAAGCATCAGGAATTGGAATAATGCTAATTCCAACGTGTGAACCAAGCAAGATATTGGAATGAAAAGTTTTAATTCCAAAACCAGAGTCTATGATTCCAATTACAATTTCAATTCCTAAACTTGAACCAAGCGACCCCTAAGTGATATTATGACACATCTCAGGAGGTTTCTCAAATTACCCCTTTTTTCGAAGGGCAAAAATTGCCTCGATTCAAGTGCCCACCCAAATTTGAATTCAAAACATAACAACCCATCCCGTACTCGTCTCACACATTTACCTCATCCGATGGACAATTCAGTCAATTCACTATACTGCAATCCACGTGGCAATGACTTAATGGTTGGTTCTCTCAACGTCTCTTAATAGCCCAATAGAAAGACAGATGTAACCCCAACAGATCTGTGGCTTTTTTATCGCTGCTGTTTTGCCTCTGTTTTCTCTCACATCCGCCTTCTCCACTTGTGACCATTCTTTGCACCAGAATTTATTATCCCGCTTCCCAATTTCCAGAGCCAGAAAAACACTATCCTGGAAAAACCCTAGACCTCTCATCTTCCATCCCAAATCTCCAAAACCCAATCTTCAATTCCTTGCATTGCACCACCCAATTTTTTTTTCTTTTAGGGGAAAAATAAGCCCCAAAGATATAGTATATAAGTATTTAAATTGCAGATAGAGCAAAAACCCTGTTGAGTTCAGCAAAGGGTTAATGGCCAAGAAGAAGCTGACCCACAACTCAGAAAAAGAAACCCAGAAAACCCATCACGAAGAATCTGCCGCGTTTGCAAACATTGCCGCCATGGATGATGCTTCTGAGAAGCTTGAGAGCTTGAAGTCCCTCAATGCCAGGCTTCTGAAGGAGACTGTTGAGCGCCGACGGGAGGTGGAGGCGCTTGTGCAGTCAAAAGGGTCTCTGGAATCCGAGCTAACTCGGTCTAACTCGGAGAAGGAGAGGTTGAGGTCCGAGTTGACTCGGTTGAGTGAGGGGGTGGTGGAGTTGGATGTTGAGAGGAGTGTGGTGTTTGCTTTTGTTGCTCAACAGGCTGAGGAGGTGATTGAGAGGGAGAGGGATGAGATTGAGAGGAAAATGAAGGGCTTTGAGAGAGAAATGGGGGAGATTTTGCGGGAGAAAAGTGAGATTGAGAAGGTGACGGGTGAAAAAGAGAGGGAAATCGAGTTGCTGAATGAGAAAATTAATGAGCTTGTGGTTAGGATTGATAATGAGAGGAGTTTCTCGAACGGAGTTTGTGTAGAAAGGGATGCAATGAGGGCTACATTTGATGCTCAAATCAAAGAGGGAAGTGAGTTGGGGGGTAAGTTGATTGAAGCTGAGAAAAGAGAGAAACTTGTCCAAGAAGAGGCTGAAAAGTTAAGGGGTGAGTATGATAAATTGGCGAGGGCAAAACGGGAGAAAGAAAAACAGATTGAGGGGGTGATGAGGGATAAAGAGCTGGTGGAGAAGAGTTTGATTGAGGTCAATAAGGCTATTGAGAAAATGAAGGAGGAGATTGAGGGGGTTGTAAAGGAAAAAGAAGGGATTGAAGAGGAGAGGAAAGTGGAGATGAGGAAGAGAAGTGAGTTGCAGGAAGTAGTAAATGGACTTAATGAGACGGTGGGGACTATGCAGAAGGAGGAGGAAAGATTGCGCGTATGTGTGGCCAAGTTGGAGAAGAGGTGTATTGAAGGAGAGGACAAGGAAAGGGAGATGGAGAGCGAGATTGATGAATTGGTGAAGGAAAAGAGCGAGAGGGAGAAGAGGCTTTTGGGATTGATTGAAGAGAATGGTGTGGTGGAGAAGGATTTAGATGATGCGTTGAAGCAATTGGATGAGCTTAAGCAGAAAATGGAGCAGATAGTTAATGAGAACAGAGAAATTGCTGGGGCTAAAATTAGGAAGGAAAAAGAGATTCTTGAATTGGAAAAACATGTGACTGAATTGAGGGATGCGGTTTCAGGAATGGAAGAGTCCTGCAGGGTTCAGAAGGAGAAAATTTATAGCTTGGAATCTGAAGTTGGGAATTACAAAGATTCCTTGAAGCGAGTTTTGGTTGAAAGGGATGAAGCTAGAATGGAACTTCTTGACGAGAGGGAGAATGGTATAGGCTTGAAGCAGAAGATTGTGGCAATGGAGAAAAATGTTGAAGAAACTGTTGAATTGGTTGAGATTTTGAAGGCTGAAAATGGTAACGTCAAAGGTGAAAAAGAAAAATTGGAGAGCTGTTGCATTAGGTTGAAGAAGGACATAGCTTCTGCTGAGAATGAGCTTACTGCTGTTGCACGCAAAGAGTTGGATGCTACGAAGGCTGAACTAGAAGTAGCAGATGCTAAATCTGAACAGGTTTTGAAAGTTTTAAGGAGGACTGTTGAATTGGTTTGTCCTAATGGTGAAATGAATATAACTGGTGACAAGGAGATGAATGGAGAAATTGAACCATATGTGGCTGAATTGGTAGCAATCAAGCATGCTTTCAAGAGCAGAGAGGACAAAGTAGAGGACATGAAGAGGCAAGTTGAAATCTTGGAGAACTCTGTGGCAGAGGCACACAAGAAGAAGAGCTTCTGGACTATTATGTCCTCTGCAACAACAGTTTTTGCTGCAATTTTACTTGCATATGTCACTCGAGGGCATTAAAATCTTTTTATATCTTGAGGATTATTAGTTATCTATCAAGAATTTAGTCCTAACTAGAAATAATCATAAGCCAAATGGTGCCAAGTTTGGTTTTCTTTCGAACTGCTCTTGATAAGAATTTACTCATGTTCCTTGATGCTGATATCAAGTTATGATATGGAGTTTTTGACCGCTAGTCTGATGATTTTTACGAGCACGCAAGCTTGCAAATTTATGCTTTGTCCATTCCAATGTGTTAAGTCAGCTTCTGATTATTGTAGAAGTAAACTCAGCAAATGAATCAAATGATTCAGGTTGGCCTTGCAGGTATTAGCCCAGAGTGAAGTTCAAAGCGAATATGCTTCTTATTTCATTGCTCTAGGGTGTCCAGATGGATATCACATTTGTCTGCTGTCCTGAGCCATGTTGTTCTTTTGCAGTTTTAGGTCTGCGAGGATCAGCCGATCAGGAAACTATACACCTACTTGTTTATATATGTATTTAGCAATTTACAGGCTCTGCCTCTTAATGGAATAGGGAGGGTTACATCCACAAAGCATTTGCTGCTCATAGAGCATCATGCCATTTAGGCCTTCATTTTGACCCTCTTAATGGTGGTTGTGTTAATAAATTCATAATCAAACTAATAAACACATGACATTGGCATTTTCACTACGTCCTCAATTTGAGATTATACTAAATAGCAAATTAATCAAAAGGCGGAAAAGGGTCCAGATGGTTACCCTACTGGACAAAAGTGAGACAATGGAAGTATGGAACTCTCAAGTAACAAGCAATTTCTGTTTTTTTCCCTTTTTCTTGCTTTTTGCATTTGGAATCTGGAGGTCGGGTTTCCAATCATATGTAGCAGGAGCTTGTTTTGTTTGCTAGATAACTTCAATTTGATGGAAGCTAACAAGTAATTTGAAAGTTTTGTTAGAGTGGTGTAATCGATAGCTTCAATGTACGGGTATTATAGAAGGTTTGATAAGATCTAGAATTAGGCCTTAAGCCTTGCCTCGATACCCTTTAGTTAGTGTACCCATTCCCAATTTCTAATGGATTTTATTGTTTTAGCTCTAATAAGGTAGTTATAGATTATCAGAATTAGCAAGAGAAATTAACATAGAAATAGGAGGGAAAAAAAGAAAGAAACAGAAACCAATACATGGTTGGCATCCAGGCTCAAAATCTCCAGACCCATGTTCTGTCTAGAAGAAAAATAAGAAATTAGGGAGAACAAAAGTAACACTGCTTTTGGGTAATGAGCCCAATACAGGGTAAGTTGACGAGCTATAAGAAATCAGATCTTGCTGTCAATACATAAATTTAAGTCAATCTATAAGAAAGTCAGATCTTATTGAAGTTAATGTGTGTCCAGGTTGACTATTTCTCGGAACAGCCATGTGATCTTGTGCAATTCCAGAAAAGTTGACAAGCACGAGGAGATCTCCGGCATCAGTGGGTTGCACCATTAAATGTTTAACATTGAACACAACACAATGAAGCAAGAATCAAAAGTGTACTAGAGTTCTAATAGCAGCAGACATCAATCATGGGGTTGAAGCATTCTAATCGTAAATTTCATTCTCGTCCAAAATTGTGTTACTTGAAATGTTCAACCATTATTGCTGCATTTCTCTCCCTTGCGTCCTTCATTTACTTCTTTTCTCCACTGGCTGATTTTGCAAAATCATGGTCCAGAGAGGTGCATTTCAGGGGTGATTTGCGTGAGGCTAAATTCCCATGGAACAAGCTTTGTTTTGGACAAGCAAACGAGAAGCTAAAGCTTGCAGTCTTCTCCAAATCTTGGCCTATTGGTGCAGCTCCTGGCGGCATGGAACGTCATGCTTCGACTTTATACACTGCTCTTGCTGCTAAGGGGCATGAAATACATATCTTTACTGCGCCTTCTGATAGAAGGGCTCACGAGGACATTCATCAAGGTAATCTCCACGTATATTTCGCGTCCAATGATCATGGCTCCGTTAATTGCTCCTTAGCATTTGACATTTTCAATCGTGAGAACAAGATGAATGAGTTCGATTATGTCCACACGGAGAGTGTATCACTGCCATATTGGCGTGCAAGAGTGGTGCCTAAAGTGGCAGTAACTTGGCATGGGGTGTGGTATGAGATAATGCATTCAAAACTGTTCCAGGAGCTCTTATCCAACCCAAAGGAGCAATTGCCTGGACCAATGACTGAGCTACAAGAAGCAATGCCCAGGTTGCTTAATGAGATTAGGTTCTTCTCGATCTATAAACAGCATATTTGCATTAGTGACAGTGCAGGAGAGGTTTTAGTCAACATCTATCAGCTGCCTCAAAGAAATGTGCATGTCATCCTTAATGGGGTTGATGAGACAAAGTTTACGCCTGATCCCATGGCTGGTGCTGTATTTCGTGAAAGATATGGAGTGCCCTCCAATGTGAGCCTAGTATTGGGCATTGCAGGGCGGCTAGTTAGGGACAAGGGGCATCCCCTGCTTTATGAAGCATTCGCAAAGATAACCAAACGACATCCTGGTGTTTTCCTACTGGTAGCAGGTTCAGGTCCTTGGGGGAGAAGGTATGCTGAACTAGGGAAAAATGTTAAGGTTTTAGGCGCACTGGAGCCTTCAGAATTGTCTCACTTTTACAATTCGCTTGATGTGTTTGTTAATCCTACATTGAGGCCTCAAGGGCTGGATCTAACCTTGATGGAGGCAATGCATTGTGGGAAGCCTGTTTTGACCCCAAATTATCCAAGCATAACCAGAACAGTGGTACTGAACGAAGAGTTTGGTTATACATTCTCACCAAATGTGGAGTCACTTGTTGAAGCTTTAGAGTCAGCGATTAAGGATGGCTCAAGAGAGCTGCAGAGGAAAGGCAAACTTTGCCAAAGATATGCAGTCTCAATGTTTACAGCTTCTAAAATGGCTTCCGCTTATGAAAGATTTTTCCTCTGTATGAAGAACAATAGATATTGTCAGTACCCCCTTACCAGTGACTGTTGAAATATTCATCTGTTATTCTCCATAAGACAAGTTTCTGGGCTATTTCTACGAAATACCCTCCCCCCCCCCCAAAAAAAACCCTCTGAAATCCTCCATTTTCACGGCCAAATCCTCATAATAATTGTTACTTCCCAGAAAAAATCCACCAAATATGGCCCTATGTAAGTCCTATATTAAAGTATGCCTGGTCGAGATTCTTTTTTTTTATTATTATTATTAAAAGAGGCAAAGGGCCGTTGCGCCAGGAATTTTTTTTTTCCTTAAAACCTGTCAGGCCGTCGCGATTCTGATTCCGATTCTGATTTGCTTCAAATATGGTTCAGTTTGATTCGATTTGGTTGGAACCATATTTGAACCAAACCAAAATCGGAACTGAAAATTTAAAATTCTCTACAAATATGTAGAAAAATTAATGGGGCAACAATGCCAGTACAGGTAGTTTTTTTTTTTTTCTCCCCGACTTGTACCTCTATTCAAGTTCTTAGCGTTCTATTGACGCAATGGATAAACTCGCAAATTTTGCCTGTCAAAGAACTCCAATAGGGGTAGATTAAAGACTCCTTTGTTTGATCCCAGAGTTCTCAAGATTGGAGTAGAGTCCTAAATGCAAACTAGAGCAAATTTTGGGGTTGGGGAGTTAGGGCTTGGTTAGGTAACATGTAACTCTTTCTCCATGCTTTCAAGGCATTTTGTCTCATTTCCTATCACTTATAACTCCAACAATCATTAGTTCCGATGCTGATTTTGTTCCGTCGGTTTCGGTAAGGCCCAATTGAACATTCCCTCTAAAATAGATTAGAATAAAAGTAGAAATACGTGTCAACTAGACAGGTGCTAATTGACAAAAAAAAAAAAAAAAAAAAAAAACTCCAACAATCACTAGGTCATTTTATTGTCTTGTTAAGCCATTTTGAAGATGTAGATTCGCAATCGTTACTGTTGTGATTAATTTTTTGGGTTTAAGACCTCAATTTGATGCAAATGAGGTCTTACACTTCAGATTTCTTGAAAATGTGCTGATATTTGACATTCATCGTTTTGACTTCTTTGGAGCTTGTAGTTTAGCCGGATTATCATGGAGTTGCTCTTAAGGCATATGAATGACGTTTTCAAGGAGTTTCTCAATAAATGACCTTAGTGCTTGCTAGATTGCCCATTGCATAAATAATACGGACAAAATCAACAACTGCTAAAAAAAAAACTAAGAAGGCAGAATTTGAGAATTTTCGCTATAGTCAATAGTGGGATCGGATTAGTACATATAAGCTTGAATATAAGAAGGAAATGGGGTTCCAAAAGCGATGTCTATCTAATCAAGACAATCAAATCAAATTTAAACTATTCAAATAACCAAGTCAAATCAAATATTTAAAATATATATATATGCAAATCAAAACAAATCACATATTTATAATTATAATAGAATATTATAAAGTTCTTCCTCAAGTCGGAGCGCGTACGTCAGACACGCACAACGTGGCCCAACCTAGACTTAAAAAAAGTGAAGTGAGATTGATCGCGTCCAAGAGTGCTCCAATTTTTTCGGATGTCCCCAAAGGGACTCCAAAAGTGTTGATAAACTTACCCTATATTAAAAGTTTCTTATCATTTTTATCATAATTGAAAATATGTAAATTTGATTTGGTTTTGTATCATCCTATTTGATTTTGTTTGATTACATTTAATCAATTTATATTTGAGCTGATTGTCTTGATTAGCAAGACACTTCTTGTAAAACTCTATATATAGGTCCTTATATACTAATTTGATTATACTTAAGTATACACAAAATCTCAACTTATTAATGTAATAGTATTTTAACAACAACTAATCCCTTTTAATATTATCGAAAAAAAAGTCCAGTTAATGTGACTCTAACAAAATCAGTACCTAAAACTATGCTTGTCGTGCTGACACAGACAGAAACATGGGTGACAGCACTCCTTAAGTTACAACCATATCACCTAAGTAATTGCAAGGGCTTGCATATTGGAAATCCTAAGCGATTTATAGAATTTGGAAACCAAAAACATTACAGAGATTTAGGGACCTCCATATATGAGCTTGGAGGCATAATCGCGGTTAACACCTCATGAATTCCATATTAGCAGAATGATCTCAAGGATGGCCCAAACAACACACATGCAGATGCGTACCATGTCAGGATAATATTGGATATCAACTCCATTAAATTG